AATTTAGTGAATCTTTAATTTAACGTATCCTTAACCATGCTAGTCAACACCAGGGCCGTTTCTCTATTCACTAGAATGCGAGTACAGACTCGTGTTTTCGCCAAGTATGTTATTGAAAAGAACACAGGAAAGACCGGACTTGGGGAGAACAGGAGCATGCAGCATAAATTTGGTTCAATTGGAACAGAAGCGTACTCGTGACGTCACCACACGCTCAGCTCATCTAGAGACGCATTTCACCTCCTGTTATTAATAGTCTCTAGATAATAATAAATTCTGACTTTTTTCATTTAGTGGGGGAACAATCATGGACGCAGTCAGATAAACACAAATCAAATGAACATTTTGCCAAATAAAACAAAAAAATTACAATCAGAGCTGATTAAACACATGAATCGAACAAAATCCACGGTTATATTTTTTATATTTGTTTTAAAAACAAAGTGGTGCATGTATGACGTCATCCGCGTGCGACGGCTACCATTCATTCCTTCTGTCCGCTGAACTGCTGCTAGTTTTACTCGCATGCCTGGAAGATGTTTAGTGCTACGACCACAGATGATCTCGCTCTCCAAATGGAATTGAACGATTCAGACTAGCTCGCCGAATGAATAGAAGGGGTAGAGCGTAGTCGCCTGTGGCACCGGGCTTCCTGTTACGACTCCAATCCGGCGCATGGATGACGTCATACACGCGCCGCTTTGTTTAAAAAAATATATAAATATAAAAAATATAACCGCGGATGTCTGGGGGACAGTGATTCGCCTACATGTTATGAATGCTGGCGTTACATAAAGAATAAATTATGAACAGTTTAGTTTGTGCCTTCAACTTATTGCCCAAAGGAAGACGTTACTTGGATATAACAAAACGGAATATCTTCGGAGCAGCTTTAAATGACACAAAACTAATATGGTTGAGTAGAACATGATGTAATAAGGTAAAATCAAGGGGCCAATGTAAAAAAAAAAAACAAAAACAAAAAACTGTGTTTCCCTTTAACTGAGTTCACTATATAGTGATGAAGGTTTTTTAGGGTTTAGGGTGGACATTTGGACACACCCTAGGATTTTTCAAGTACAGGGTAGTTACGGTGAACAGACAAGGGGACTGTCCTTGTTTTGGACCACTTGTCCTCAGCTACAACTTTACCCAGAAATGTCCCTGATTTAACTGTTTTATTAATGAGGGGGGAATTGTTGTGTGTAGAAAGAGCGCATGAGCATGAGGTGCACAGAAACAGCTGTTAGATAGCTTATTACACTGCTTGATGATCAACAGAGTTACACATTTAAAAAAGAAGAGAAGAACAATAATAAACATATATCATTCCTTACCCGCAGGCTTGACTGCTACTTGTTTTTGATCCATGTTAACGCAGAAAAACCTAATTCTCATAGGTATAGAGATGTGAACAGAAGGAGTATTTGTAGCACTTTTTTGAAGAGGTGGGAGAACTCTGATTCCCCAGAAAGCCACAGGCTGAATGTTTTCATTTACCTTTCTTGTTTTTCTTTTCCTCATGTCTCTCTCCCCTTAAGGGCTGTTTATCGTCCCGTAGTAGTGTGTCGCATTTAGAGTGTATCGCAGCTTTTTTTGATTTATGCTCAATTTTGAAGCGTGGTCTGCGCTATGTTATTCCACGCCACCACGCAAGAGGGACAATCAGGAACTAGCTGTGGATCTAGATATGGCCGAGGCGGTGAAGAAGTGGAAAAAACTCACGGAGGGACATGAAGGCGAAAAAGGGATCCAGGTGGAAAAATGGTCCCAGCGCTCTTCTAGCTGGTCCAACTTCACGAGTCGTTTTCCACAATGGCGGTCATACAAACAAAACAAGCCGGTAAGGTACCAAACAGGAAATACGCATAGAGTAGAGCGGATGTAGATTTGACCAATCAGAGGACTCCTGTCTGCAGTCACCTACAATTTTGGAGAGGTGCAGCAGAGTGTCTGCGGAAGGGGAGGGGCATATTTGCATTCACTGCGACACACACGCAGACGACCTTGTTTCAGACTATAAATCAGCCTTTAGGGGCCTGCAGAGCTCTTTATATTCCCCAAAATTAGAAAGCCCTGGTAACCACCCTTGACCCCTCCACTCCCACCCACACCCCTTAACCACCACCATCTCCCCCCAACCAACAGATACAGCTCTTGTTTTCCATTAATAACACTATACATTTAACAGTGTGGAGAGACACATACATACCTTTTAATTTTTTTTGTTTAAATATTAATAAATATGTAGAAATAAATGAAACCATTACTGTCCCAGTTTCCTAAATTTGATCTTTTTTTTTTTCAAATCTTTTTATTGAAAAGTCAGAGGTAGAAACAATAGATCGTCTTTATGGTTACAAAAGACTTTCCGTTTTAAAAAACTTTGTACGCATTCAGCAAAAACCACACCCTCCCCCCACCCAGACTGGATCCAAAACTAATTACAATAATTGTGATTGTAATGAATCAAAAAAACAGACCAAAAAACACTGAACCAACAGTAGATTTCAGCTATTGTTTGTTAAGTGTGGGCAGGCATCAGAATAAACAAATTAAAACAGTGAGTGAATAGCTCTATATGCATTCCAAGGTCCTCTTGGCCAACAAAGTATGCCTTTGTGTTTGCTCAGCTTTTAATTGAAACCATAGAATCTTTCAATCTAATGCAATGTTTGAGGAAGTTCTTGGACGCCACTAAAGTATGAGAGAAAGGGTTCCCACACAGCAAAAAAGATCTAGAAATAAGTAAAAAAATTCTTAAATTACGTGTATTTGAGTAGGTAAATACGATGATTTGCCAATGAAATTAGTATCCTTACTCTTAAAATAAGATAATTAGATAATATGAAATTAAATAAGACAATGCAATTATTTTTTCTTATTTTAAATGTAAATTGTCTTGTTCCATTGGCAAAGTCTCTCACTTTCGACCTCAATTAGAGAAAAAATG